AAATAAATAAATAAATCTTTAAAAAAAAATAAGACTTATTAAAACATATTGTTTAGTGTAACTTTTATATTATCCTCTTATTTTAAAAGAAAAAATCTATACTGATATTTTACTTACTGATAAATTGGTAAAATCCTGTTACAGTAGCATAAATATTGATTATAACTTTTATATAATCTTTGCCAAGGCTTAAAGTGATCAGTGACAGAAAAAGTGATTTATTGCTTGACGCCTCAAATGTTTTATTTTACACTAATAGTGGTATTAGGTTGAGTTTGTGAGTAGAAACCCCAGCAGAGGGCGCTACAATCATAATTCTGTCTCACAGTCCGATATAATTGGAATAAATAACCTGAAAAATAACGGTAAGTCTTCATCATGTAAACATATGAAGATGTGTGCTTAAAAATTTCCATTTGATTTATTTCTCATATATTTATTTATTATTATTTTTTAAAGATTTTATTTATTTATTTATTTGTTAGAGAGGGAGAGCGTGGGCGAGAGAGAGTGAGTGAGAGTACAAGCAGGGGGAGCTGCAGGCGGAGGGAGAAACAGGCTCCCTGCTGAGCAAGGAGCCCGATGCGGGACTCAATCCCAGGGCACTGGGATCATGACCTGAGCTGAAGGCAGCCGCCCAACCGACTGAGCCACCCAGGCGTCCCTATTTCTCATATATTTACTATATTCAGCAATTCATCAATACAAAAAATAGATTTTCCTGAGTTATTTTTGAGTTAATTTTTTTTTGTCTTTTGTTTTAAATATAAGTTTAATTTTTATACTTCTGGCTTTAAATAAAAGAATACTTTTGGTCTTGTTAATCTTGATAGCAAGAGTTCTGTATAAGAATATCTATTCCAGGGGCGCTTGGGTTGGCTCAGTCAGTTAAGTGTCTGCCCTTTGGCTCGGGTCATGATCTCAGGGTCCTGGGATCGAGCCCTGTGTTGGGCTCTTTGATCAGTGGGGAGTCTGCTTCTCCCTCTGCCCCTCCCCCTGCTTGTGCTCTCTCTCTATCAAATAGATAAATAAAATCTTTAAAAAAAAAAAAATCACCACTGTGGTAGTACACTGATGGTACACTGAAAGATATTTAAATGAGGAAAAAGTTTCTAATACTATGAGAGAACCAATAGATGGAATTATTCATTTGTTTCAAGAATAGTTTCCAGGTTAATAAAACTTCCTGATAGTAGGAAAAAAATAACGAAAATATTGTATAGTTATAAAAACCTGATATGTGTATATGTACAAAATGTGTGTGTGTGTATATATATATATATACACAAAATATATTCATGGTTTAATAGAACCATTAATCCCAATTTTAAGTTAATTGTTAAAACCAAGTGATGATTTTATTCACTGTAAATTTTCAAAGATGAAAGGTTCAGTTTGACTTCCTGAATTTGTTTTCTAACCAGAAAGATACGAAAAAATCTTTAATTTTGGGTAATAAATGAAACTTCTAGATAGTTTCTTATTTCCTGATATATTAGAAAATATTTTTTATATTTACCTTTATTATTTAGAAGCATTTTGTGTTTTTAAATATATGACCTGTAAAGTGTTTTATATTTTTGAGCTATCCTTTCAGAGTTTGAATTCCTTCGAATGTTGTAAGAAGAAATTAAAAATGAATCTCATACAATCATTTTGGCATAATGATTCACTGCTCTATAGAATATTTTTGCTATCGTGGGAAACACATTATTTTGAAAGCCAGGCTCCCTTTTTGCGTATCTCTATTTAGGAATAGGTATGCATTTCATTCTTTAGGTTCTACTACTTTAGAACCTGCTTCCTTTTCAAATATCAAAGCTGTTCTCTGGAGAGGTTATGTCTGCTATTGATTCATCATGCCTGGAAAGAGATGCCATCTTGCTACCTAGGGAGAAGTATAGGATGGCATCCTTCACCTCAAATGAAGTGCTGGCTGCTTCTGTGTTTCACATAACAGGTCACTCGAATACTCTGGGTAACAGGGGAGTACTCTGCAAGCACCAGAGTAGATCGCTTACTCCTGCTTTCCCTGTGAACACAGTCTCCTTTCCAGCAAGTCCCTAACCTCTAATCAAAGAAGCCCCACTATGCTGTGTCTCTTCCAAACCCACTTTCTCTTTCTCCAAAGTCATCTCTTTCCTCTACTGAAATGAATTTTTTAAAAATGTGATTCTCGGGGCGCCTGGGTGGCTCAAGTCGTTAAGCGTCTTGCCTTCGGCTCAGGTCATGATCCCAGGGTCCTGGGATCGAGCCCCAGATCGGGCTCCCTGCTCCGCAGGAAGCCTGCTTCTCCCTCTCCCACTCCCCCTGCTTGTGTTCCCTCTCTCGCTGTGTCTCTCTCATAGAAATAAATAAAATCTTAAAAAAAATAAAAATAAAAATAAAAATGTGATTCTCTCCAAGGCGTAGTTGATTCAGATTTGGTTGTTATAGTATATAATGTAACTATTTGGTATTTGTAAAATCTCATTAGTGCTTGGGGTTATAATAGCTTCATTTGGACTTTTTTTTAGCATATCATCTTTCATTTGACAGCTTGAGCAGATGAGGTAATACTTCTTATACGATTTATTGTGTACAGTATATGCAATATAATATGTATAAGCCTTTAAAGGATAGGAAGTCAATAATAATATATCACTGCAGTAACCTAGTGTGTGAATCAGGACTCCTGGTGAACACTGCAGCTTAAATTTGGGGAATGTATTGGTAAGACCCCTTCTGCCATTCTTTGAAAAACATTTTTTTCTCCTGGCTGGGCTACATGACATGGGGTTGGTATCTCAGTCTCCTGGAGAAATTTGTGGACCCTCTGCCTCATATACTCTCACATGTGACAATGGTAATTCTTCC